AGTGACTTTTAAAATGCCTTATCAATAAGAATTAAATGAGCGGCTGAAAATGTTTTTATAATAATCTTAGAAACAATAATTAAAATTTAAAGCTTCATTTTATATGGACAGAGCAGCTATTTTCTTTTTATGTTTTTGTTGTAATTTGGGGCTTTTAGAAATTGTTAAAAATGACAAAATAATCAGAATATGTGTAATAATTTAGAAAATGTAATAAAACTATTATCAGTCAGCTATGATGTAAGACCCCGAAAGTGTCTGGGATCCTTTGTTCTTCCTGGTATGACGGCATCACGTCTTTTAATAGCTGGCTCATTCAACACATTTTTCATGAGTTGTTCTGGACGCTATGCGTCCTCAATTTAAAAAACAAAAAAAAATTTTCGTTTTATAAGATCCGTAAGCCTGTTTTTATATGTTCCAACTTAATGGGCATGTTCTGCTTTCTGTTTAACCCAAGAATTAGTTTCATGTAACCGTTAGCCTTTTAGTTTTATCACCAACTGAGTATGTCAACCTAAGCAAATGAAGGCTGATAGCTTAGTAAATGTTCTATGGATCTGAGGGTGCATTTGGACATTGCACTAAATCCTGGACAAACAAGACATGAAGCCCAGATGTATAAAGGAACAAATGAGGTCATAAGCACAGTCTGTATCTTCCGCAGGAGGAGTGGGGCCTTGGCAAGGACCCAGCCAGCGGCTAAGGGCAAAGAGGTTCTCAGACCAAGAAGTAGGGATGTGGTCTAGGAGAATCAGAATGAGAACTACTATTTTTGAGCACCTACTTCATACCAGGCATTTTGCTAAGTGCTTTACATTGGAGGAAAATTAGGCCCCAAACCATCAGCGGGAGCACAATCTCATAAAGCAGCCGCAATACTCACCTAAAGAAATTGATCATAGATTCATTTTTAGTTTTTGTCTTGGGTTGAGGGGGGTTGATTTTTTATTGTTATAGAACAAAACAAGAGCTACAACCTATGTTTAGCAACTTCAAGGCTCATATTATTTTCTACGTATTTTCTACCATTAGAATGTTTTACCCTCTGTGATGTTAAGACATTTTGTTAGGATATTGAGGAAATCATACTTAAAATATTAGATCTTGTTATAATATGGGGCAAGCATGAAGCCAACACTTCTTCCATTAATTTGATCATTCATTCACTCAATAAATATTTGCTGCAATAACTTCTCTGTGGAGGAAATGTTCTGGGTATTAAACACACAGTAGTGAGCAAAACACTAGACCCACAGTCCCTACTCTCAAGGAGCTTACAGCCTAGGGCAGGGGGCAGACACCAAGCAAGTGACCACACAAATATTCAGCACAGAGGGTATGAATCTCAATTCAGAAACTCAGGTATCCAAGAAATAGGTTTTCTGTAATTCAGTTTCTAACTCCAAGTCTTCATTCCACCCAGCTGGCAGAAACAAACAACACACAGAAAAAGTTAGCATCAGTATCTCTCAGAGTTGGTTTGTTTCCATTTCCGAAAACGTAAGTCTGGCATCTCACTCTGTGCCAAGACCCTTCTATCCTCAAAGCGTTGCTTCTTGCTGGGTTGTTAACCATCCTCAGTGGCCTGGCTTTTCCACTTCCTTCTTTGCTGCTTCTGCAGATCACTCGTTGCATGGAGAATGGTTTTTCTGAGGTTGACTGTGGTCCCTCCAAGTCTTACTACTTCCTGAACGGTGCTTTTTAAAGAGATGGACGTGGGTCCCCTCTGCTCTATGGATCCACAGGCCTCTCTCTTTTCTCATTCCCCATCCCCTCCAGCCTCACAGAAATTTCACATTTCCCTTCATGTTCCAAGATACTTGGAGCAAATTTAGCATGACTGGGTGGTAGGTCCTGTAGAAGGGAGCATCAAAAGTGCTCTCCTGAGCAGATGAGCTGTGAACTGAGATCTGAAGGGTAAGTAAAGACTAAACACAATGATGGGGAGTGAGGAGAAGTGGGCAGAATGCTCCTAGCAGAAGAGGTCTACCTGGCAAGGTCTAATGGCAGGAAAATAAACTGAGAAAAACTAAGTTATAAGCATAAAACCTAAATTATAGAAGAATACATACTCATGTTTTGATGTATGAGACCTCAGCAAACCACATAGACATTAACCATTTATTATAATTTACTACCGCAGTAGTGGAAAATGTGTAAGAACTGTTCAAAGCCTTGGGTTTGAGTTCAAGCCTGACCAGTCACCAGCTCCATGGTCTTTGGTAAATTATATCACCTCTTTAAGCCTTAATTATATCATCTGGAAGATAGGAATTAC